CAAACAAAAAAGTATATCAAGAGCTCCAAAGAAACCAAATCAAGTCCTAGAAAAAGGAAAATACTGGTTTACTCGATTATGGCTTAAGGGACTGGAACATGTTAACAAGATGGTAAAATAGATGCCTACTTTTACCAAATAATATGTTTAATGCAGCGGTTCTCAACCTGGGGGTCTCAACCCCTTTGGGAGTCAAACAACCCTTTCACAGGGGGTCACCCGATTCATCACAGTAGCAAAATGACAGTTATGAAGTAGCAACAAAAATGTTATGGTTGGGGGGGTGACCACAACATGAGGAACTGTATTAAAGGGCGGTGGCATGAGGAAGGTTGAGAACCACTGGTTTAAATGTATAATAATCTCGCCTCTTCCTTCCACATCTTCGTTTGCTTCTCTCAGGAACTTGAACTTGTATTCATCTTCAGGGAAGAAAAAAGTGACAGAAAGACAAGGCCATGCTCTTATGCGTGAGATTGCCAGCAGGGGCATTTTATAAACTTGTACAGCTGTTAGGGAAAGTAGAGGTCAAAGTGGTCCAACCTTTGGGTTTAGAAAAGGAAACGAGTTGGAAGAAAATTAAGCTCCAAAGGCAAGGCACAGAACAAAAGTGGATGGGGTCAGAGCGAATTTTGCAAGTAAATTATAAAACTATGCAAAGCAACCTTTGTTCCCCAGCTGAGAACACTAGGCAAACTCAGGCTTTTCTGGTAGAGAAAGGACTTCAAAAATGATCATTAGTAGTCAGCTGGTATAGTGGAAAGAACACTGGAGTGGAGTAAGGAGCTGAGGGGCTAGTCCAATGTCATTGTGCTTTCTGGCCAAGTCATTTCAGGCAGTCTCACTGTCTTGGTGTTTTGACCTTTATTCTACTTTTTTTTGTCCTAAACAAGGGAAAAGCATATCCTTGTCCTTTCTATTTTAGCTTACTTTTAAACACCTTTAAAGATGATGTGTTGCTTCATAATTTAATGAGGGGGGGGGGATACAAAAAACCTTTTAATTGTTCAAAGAAATCAATCTGACTATAGAAGCCAATTCTGCAAGCATTCAACACTACATTGTAGGATAACTTAGCTGCTTTTGGAGTTTCATTCTACTCAGGGCACGGTGTGAGAACAGACTGCCCCACAGGATTTCCTATGGGGACTTTTTAGTGGCCTTAGTGGCACAGTGGGTTGATCACTGGGCTGCCAGTCAAAAGGTTGAGGTTCAAACCCCAGTCTTTCTACTGGGTTGAAAGATGAGGCTGTCCCTTCCTATAAGGGTTTAAGTCTTGAAAACTCTAAAGAGCAGCTCCTATTGTGCCCTATTGGACCACTGTAATTCTAAATTAATCACAGCAGTGGGTAAACTTTAGGGACACAGACCCCAGGTCCGTCTCTATCTGGAGACAGCTTCAATGTTGTGAGTCAGTGGGTTTTTCTTTTCTTTCTCTCACTCTTTTTTTTGGCCGGGGTGGAGGGTGGGGGAAGGCGGGTGTTAGGGGGAAGGGTAGTTTTAAGGGAAGCAAATGTTCACATCTTTCTCCCTCAGAGAGGCTAGTGGGTTAGAAACAATGACCCTTTTCAGTTAGCAGCCAAGTGCACCACCAGGAGTCACCAACCGAACCGAACCGAACCGAACCCCACTGCTGGGGAGTGGATTCTGACTTACAGCGACCCTGTAGGGCCGAGTCAAACTGCAGCACAAGGCCGTTTATCGTTATGCAAGCCCACTTTCTCCCGTGTACAGGCTCTCGAACCCCACGAAATTGTAACTGACTCCACTCACTTCTTCACACATTTTATCTTCTCTACCGAAGCTCAAATCTGGTGCTAGCCAGGTGCAGCACACACCCCCAGGGGTATTTCCTTCCATTGGCTGGCGGGCTGTACTGTAGTTTACACCCTTTAGATCTACTGTCAGGCTGCCCGTTGTTTGTCAGACAGATTACTCGGCGTATACATTAACTTAAAATTTAAAAAAAAACACAAAAACAGAAGCTATCGGGTGAAAAACGGGATAGATTGGCATGTAATCAGCAAACTCCTTGGACGAAGAAAAACGTCTCGATTTCAAAAGGCAATACACCTTCGGTGCTTCGGTATCATTTGTCACTGTCCTCTAGCAGGGGGGTTTGGAAAAAAAATCAGAAACAACTTGTTTCGTATTTTGCATTCGCGAGCCCACGAAAACTTGCAGAGGCTGAATCAGATGGGCCGGCCAATTGCCTTTTCTAGAAGTGCATTTCGGCGGGACCCACCCTGTGTGACACACAGACCGCAAGGAGAACCAGAGGCTTTTCTGCCCACAGCATCGATCCGTTCGGGGGGGGGGGGGGGTCCCCTGGGGAATGAGTGAGGGCCAAGTGGGAAGGGGAAGCCTGGTCCTCGGGTGGGCATGGCACTCCCTCGGGGGAAGGGTGGAGGTGGCAATGTCCGCCCTGCCCCAGGATGACCCCGGCAGGACAGGGCGGAAGAGGGACACTCCGGGCCCAGCTGGCGGCCAGGAGTGGGGGCGGGGAGCCAGGCAGGCCGGGCCCGCGATGTTGGGGTGCAGGGCGGCGGGGCGACTCGGGCCGGAGGCTCACCTCCTTTGCAGGGTGTGCGGTGCTGGCTGTGCTGGGCCCGGTAGCCCTCTATGACTTCCCAGGAGCCGTCGTCGCGGCGGATGGGGAAGGACAGGCTCAGCACATGGTTGCAGGGCTTGATGATCCGCAGGATGCCGCGCACCCGGTTCCGCTTCTGCTCCGCACTCTCCCGGGTCCGGAGGTCCTCCACCAGCTTGTCCTCCACGATGCTGGCGCCGCGGTCGAAGAAGCCCTCCACCATCTTGAAGAAGTTGGGGTCGTCCTCGCGATCGGACACGGCCTCGCTGTAGTG